GGCACTGATCGCGCAGATTGCAAGAAGAACAGCAAGAGAGTTGGCAGAAGGGCTGAACGCGCTCCATTGTTACATTAAAAGAGGAACGCAAGCAAGTTAGACATTTAGTTTCGTCAAACGACGGTGAGTGAAACGGGACATGTGGAGGTCGGATGCTCCAGGATAATTTAGTGGCCATTTGGTTGAATTGTATTTGTATGATGTGACCATGACATGGGAAGAATGGATCAGTGTTAGGCAGCAGTTCGATGGCGAGCGAGATTAGCGGGTCGAAGAACGATTCGTCTGGAAGCAAACTCGGTCTGTGTTTAGGGTGGAACCGCAAAGGAGCTAATTGTCTCCGCAACTGTGAGTTTGGCTAAACCTGGTTGGGACGCCTCCGACAGGGCAGTTGGAAGCAAAGTGATCCGTTTATTTGACCTCGGCGGGTCAGGCACTAATGTATGAAAAATGAAAGCTGTGGGAGGGTTAGCTCAATCATTCTGCTTGAACAGCGATGCCGACTGAAAGGAACGACAACTGCCCGCCACTTTTTCGATGGTCCAAATGTTATGAATGGGTGACCCCACATGATCAAAGAGGGCGATGTCGACAGTGCGCGATGAGAATGCCCTCTGTGTGTATTTTCTGGCTACAGGAACTCTTTGAATGAGGAAGCCTTGTTTGGATCCCACGCAGTGTATATGAGACCTTATTGTTTGACTTTCTCTAAGAAACAATCACTCGTTTTTGTTGTTGCTACTGTAACTGAGTTTAGCCATTCGGAATGCGCATTACACCTTTTATTCCAAATATGCGAAATCGTCATCGTGCCAGAGTAGTGCAAGTCTTTCCGAAGTTGGTTGCGTGCTGTCTTATATACTATGGTGATCGCGGGATCGTATGTCGGTTTAACTGTTCGGTTATTTGATTTGCTGACACCTTACTTGGGCTAACATTTAAGTGGCAAGCGGTGTGTAGTGCTCGTAACGACTCCTGATTACACTAACGTAGTGCAAAGAGGTTGAATGGGTAGGCAAATTTTATTGCTACACGCTGATTTGTTTGGTTGCTCTTACCCCGTAACCGCAATCAGCGGAATGCACCCTCTTGGATTATTCACTCGCTGCAAATAAATCATATACACTGGTTTACTTTTTAACCGCTAGAACCTCGTCTTATGCATTTGTCTGGGGAACAAGTTCCTATTTTTGTGCCTCAAATGCCGTGCGCTGTACCCCAAGATAACAGCGAATTGTTTGTCTGAGTTACATGGGTTTGTATGATTTATTCGTTGGGAAAATTGTCGTTTGGTTAGTTAAATAGTCTAGTGTGTGTTCTTTCAGGTTCATGCTGATTGTGGGAAAAAGACACTTACTTTTCAATCAATGTTTTCTGCGGTGCAATTTTTTGCATTCCATGGAGCTTAGTTTTTAGACGTGTCCAAGTGCCTTTCCAGGATTGATAAAATGCTCCAACTTGGTTCACTTGCAAATTGTTTCGATGTAAATGGTTCGTGGAGTTAGTCAAATATATCACAAACGAATGTTAACTCATCTTCGATCGATGCGTTACAAGGGGGCCTCGATCTAATTGGTTTAGAACACAAGGTTATTCAAGATCCACTTTTACAAAATAGCATGCAAATTTGGGCCCCCGGGTTTACCGTCATTGTTTTGTGATGATGCGTCGCTTATTGGACGGTGGTGCAAGTGGAGCTGCACCAACACTGAATTGAGCCAATTTGCACATTGAATGTCTCAGCCAACCGTAGCCTTGTCCACATGTCCACCACAAATACGGTGTCCGCAGTGGACCACCATAAGCCTTGAATCGTAAGCAATTTCAACTTATCAAAAATCGGATGATTCTACTGGAGTTCCTTTAGACAACACTAAATTTAGTGCTGGCAAAAGTGAAATGGGGATAAACTAGCCGGTTTCGATGCTTTAATGGACACCATTTTGCCCTCACCTACTTTCACATCATTTTAAAGTGCCACGATTGCTTACAAATTTCTTCTACTCTCATTATTTGTTGGAGGGCAATTGCAACACCCACTTTTAACCTTTCGTTTTACGCAATCGTTCAAAACGGTTGCGAAAAGTGTGAGATTTTTATGGCCTACCAAGAACCGCACGCGACATTATGACTGCATAGTAATCTCCTCTACTATTATTGCCAGGTAGACTGTAATTGCAACATATAAAATAGTTTTTCCCTGGTGTTACCTTACGTTTCACGTCAGTGACCTTGAAATGTAACCATATCGTATGGTCAACCAAGTACTCGGCTCGGGAAACCGCATTGGTTACTGACACCCCATAGGCCTTTGCCGTAGCTTGTTTGGATAACGATATTAATTAACCAATGAGAACGTGTTGTCATTTCGTTTATCCTTTCAGAAAGGTCTTTTTTGTCGATAGAAAACTCGGCGCCATTTCGTTCATACACCAGTACCTCTCACCAATGGGATTTAAGCAAGATGGGAGTTAGCTATTTTCGTGTGTTGATTTATAGAGTGGACTCAACGCGCTCCACCTGGCCTCCAAGGAAGGTCATGTGGACATTGTTCGCGAGCTCGTGCGGCGCCATGTGGATGTCAATCAGCCGACCAACAAGGGCAACACTGCACTCCACATTGCAAGCCTCGCGGGACAGTTTGAGGTGGCGAAAATTCTCATTGAAAACGGAGCCAATGTTAACGCCCAATCCCAGGTAATAAGTCCTTTCGGCTTTAGTCCAGCGTTAGTTTTTTTTGTATTTCTTCGGCCAAATGAACGCAGAACGCGGATTGCTTTGTGGCATGGCATTGTCCAACCTTTGGTCACCTAACAGTAAATGCTCCTTGTGGAAAGCCCTTATTGGAGTCCTAGGAGGCACGGTGACCTAGAGCAAGCCAATAAACCTTCGGCCTTCAAGCTCACATCACTTAGTGGCCTGTTGCGTTGCTTTGTGGCGTCTGTAGAACTGCTGGTCTTTGTTTTATGTCCCAAAATTACATAATTATAACACAATAGCTAAAATTAATGATGCAGCCTCTCTCGCTTTTTCTATACCAATATGTCGTCAAATTAATTTTCTTTAATTGATAAACAATAAAATTGGCATCTTCCAATTAATCAAATTGAACACACTAAAACCAGACTACACTAACCAACTTGCCCAATAATTGTCTTAAATCGAAACGGTTGCAGGCGATGAGGTATTCGGGCGAATTCTGGGGAGGCAATTGTTATCCCAATGACGGAAGCAAGCTTGTCTCCGCAAGTCACCTGTCCTTAAAAAATGCCGTCGACATTTACATTCACCCACAATGAAGCTGATGCACTGTGTTAGATCGTTGATCGCTTTCACTTCCGTCAGCGTTTATTTTATTTACCATAGTTTGGTAATTAATTTATCCCTCAAAGCTGAACGTCGATACCCCGTAAATTGAATTCCTGTTTCATGCAAGCTGAATATTCAAACAAGTCGTATTCCATCCTGAGGTCTCAACATCTTCAGAAGTTGACCGAATCTTTGTATTTATTTCCTTGTGAGCTTCTGAGAACGCCACAAATCTACACTACGCAGTTCAGTCTTTGACTACACGTTCACTCTCTGCAGCATTTTAAATCGCATTTGAAATGTTGGGTGGATGGCAGGTCTTTTTACGAGAATACCTCTCAGGTTACCTACAGCGAGCGCAGAATAATGTGAAGGAACAGCTGTTTCAACTGTCCGAGTTTCATCACTGGGCCAGCATGCCTGCATGCCAACCGACTAGCCTGCATCTCCTTGTAATTGGTCGTCAGAACTCCTTTCGCGTGGCAAACGAAATTTCGGACATATCAGCGTTGAAAATAAGGTCCAATTCATAAGGCTAACTGACTCATTGCGTCCGTTTATTTTCTTTTCCGTGACCTGTCCAGAGAGGTCTTGTGCTTGCATCGGCTCCCACGATCGCTGCAGCGCCTTCGTTTATGTGCCATTCTAAACACCAGTAAGGAAACCTGCCCGATAGACTAGCAAGGCGCATGTTTAACTGGCCACTAGCGGCCACTACGAGCTCGATATTTTCAAGAACAAGCCTTTAAATCTATGCGTCTGTCGAACTGATTGTAGACTCAGTTGATGTAAAGAAGGATCCCAATTCAAGGACCACGATATTCAAAGATCCTATTACTCATTTCATCTCTCTTGAATAGATGACTATAGTTATTTCCTTAAACTCAAACGTGGGAGATTTCTCCTAAATGTACACTTGCACAGTTGGAGTCAATGCCGAATGCACTTATTTGAAATCACGTCGGATAGTTTTGCCTTAGGATGAAAGAATTTCCCGCGGCAGTACTAAGTGATCGATTGAGCTATTCGGAATGTCGCATAGTTGAAGTTTTTCTTCGAGTTGCACACCCATCTATCCACAGTTCCCAAAAAAGGGCAAATTTTTAACTAAAATGAAGTACAAAAATGGGAGTTGGCGCATATACAGTAAATTGTTTCAAGTACTAGAAGGAAATACAAGCTGTGGATTTGGGTATACCTGAGCCCCAGTCTATGTGTGGTTGTTAATTCCACGCCTTCTTTCTTTGAGATTATTTGTGCTAGCAACCGGGCCATTTGCGTGGACTATTTTCGCCTCCTTTACTTCTGCCTTTATGTTAAAGTATGATGCTAAACGGGATGCCAGCAACTATGGTAACCAAGTTAATCACGTGAGCGTTCTAATGACTTTTGACTTGCCTTGGCTTTGCCTCAGGTGATGATTTTCACCGGTTCGTTTTAGATTTCTCAAAAAGTGAGCCGGGTTTTTGGACTTGGATGGTTTATCGGACATCAGTGTGGAAAATTAAACTCGAATCTCCTCTGTGTTATTTTAGAATGGTTTTACGCCGCTCTACATGGCTGCACAAGAAAACCATCTGGAGGTAGTGACCCTGCTGCTGGCCAACGGCGCCAATCCGAGCCTCACCACGGTGGACGGGTTCACGCCCCTGGCCGTGGCTCTCCAGCAGGGCCACGAGAGGACGGTGGCTGTCCTGCTGGAGTCAGACGCCCGAGGCAAGGTCTGTCTGCCCGCGTTGCACATTGCGGCGAAAAAAGACGACGTCAAGGCAGCCAGTCTTTTGCTCAACGGAGACGTTAACGTCGACCACCAATCAACGGTGAGCAGAAATTTCGCCCGCGCAAGGCACTACTAAAACAATGGGGCGGAAATATTTCTCAACTCCCATTGGCTGAAGGCGATTTTCGTAGTTCTATTGGAGGATTCTTATAATTAATTAAATCAGCTGTCAAGGTAACCTAAAAAAACAATTACAGGAAAATCTTGGAAAACCGATTAGTGCTCACCAGTCTTTGCGTTTGAGTGGGTGTCCGTCCACGTGTTATTTCGAGCCGCGCTTTTATCAGCTGCAAGAAAAAGAGATGCTGTGAATTATTTTGTGATGCCTAACGCTGGTCAATTCAAGGTAAACTCGGAGCTCTGTCAAAGTCCATGCCATCTTTGGAAGGTCTTGTGCTCCCGCTATCGTTTTTTTAAATTAATCACAGGAAAGTATTTTGTCAAAGCATGATCAAAGACACTGTAGCCAATTTAGTGGATGTAACCTTCACGTAGTCTCGTCTTTCAATCAGCGAGTCTAAATTATGCATAGTTTGGTCTGACTTTTTGTCTGCTTCTTTGTGTCGTGCAGAGCCTGTTCAGTTCCCTTTTTGTTTGATATCGTTTGCCTTGAATTTGCCTTGGCATTGGATCAGATGGTGACTAGTGCACTCGTGTGGTTAAGTTGATTCATGTTATGCGCAATGCGCTATTTCGTAGAACGTAATCGTTGTGCATCAGAGGATTGGCTCGGCTGAATACTGCTGGACTAGAAAGTTACCGTAGGCACAGGTGACGTCATCCAGTTCGAAACTGGGGCACAATCTGGCATGGTAACTGTGCGTGAAATATGAAAACCCCGGAGCACGTGTCCACAGCATGAGTCTCATGAGCCACAGAAAACGTTTTAGGACTTAAACCGATAGTCTTTGATTAGCCAATCAAGAACCACCGCAATCGACCGCGTAAATCAATTCCGCATTTCTAGTGTGTAGATTGGAGGTTTAGCTTCTTAATTACAGTATGAAGGATTTGAATTTCTTTTTTTTTTGAATTGGGCTTGTAATTAGCCACAAATCGTTGAACGACATTTATTCTATTGGTAAGCATAAAACTTGGTCTGCAAGATGGCCACCTCTCACAACCCCCCTGACCCACGCCACGGGCTCGTCCAGCATCAGGCTTAAGTGTCGGTTTTGTGGACTTTGATTGTCGATTGTCGTTCTACTAAGCAGAAGGCAAGCAGGTCATAGGTGCAAACTTCTAACATGGGCCACTTGTTTGACTGAGTGCGTAAACACCGTTGGCAAGTCTCACGTTGCCCAACCATGAATTCGAATCCCTTTGCGGCGAGTGATGTCAGCTGGACTGGTACTTTAAGATTTGTTCTTATAACTGTAAACAGAAACAGTACAATAAAATCCCAAACTGCGGATAACTACTCGATATGCCTGCTAGTCCTTTGGCTCAATTATATTCACTGTAATTATGTATGATTTTTCCAATTTTCTGCCTTTTGGTTTACAAGATATACTGGCGATTTCTATGTTTATTTAACATTAACAGGCCTCTTTGTAAGCCTCCAAATGGTTGTTACTATGGGCATAGTTCTCCCATTTTCCCGCCGCGGTCTTTGGAACTAAAGATGCGTCATTGTTTAGTGCGAAAAACGAGGAGACACCAATTGGTAACCTGATATTGTTCGTCTTTCTTGCTCTGGCAATTTGATATTGAAGGTTTGTGCTTTTGAGAATTCAAAGAACAAATGTGTCTATTTCCCTAAAACAAACTTAATCTCGTTAAGAGATGGGGACGCGGTGAAAAGGGAGGCGGTTAGTCGGTGCATGAGGTGACAAAGTTGGTAGACTTGAGTCAGCACGGTTCGCTACACCAACATTTTAAACTACCTTTGATTGAGGTAAACTTCAAAATATCATAAATTTCCACGGTGTCTTGAAGTGAATTCACAAGAGCAGATGATCCTCGGATGTGGCTATATGCATAAAGCATCCCTGAAAGCGTAACATCGTGTAACCAGAAAAAGCCGACCTGTTCCCCTATGTCCTCCACGCTAGTCACACTAACCGTTTCAAATTGATTAGAGTCGTGCACGAGAGTACCACTTCCTTACGGCTAAGTTTTTTTCCTCGGGCAGTTTTGATAACAACTTCCCTTTCGGGCTTGTCAACACACAGGTCCAGGAGCTACGGGAAATCCGGAGAGGGCAGGTTTCAAAATCCGGTTCCCATGCATGCTCAGACAGTTGTTGCTGGCTTAAGATAACAGTGGTTAATTGCAGAAAATCGAGTTACAATATCAGGTTTCACCTAATTTTTTTTCCTAGAGCGGTTTTACGGCCTTGCACATCGCCTCGCATTACGGAAACGTTAATATGGTTGAGCTCCTCATTTCGCGCGGAGCGGACATCAACTTCCAGGCCAAAGTGAGTTTGTCGTTAATTGCCCTTCTTTCTATTGAAGTAGACACGAGGTTTTGACGGTGAGTGTGCCTTTGGAACGGAGTGCATTCTGCGAAAGACGAATCACAATTGGTAGTACGAAATCGGCTGCTGTAAAAGCAGGAAATCGATGCAAAATTGACCTTTCGGTGCTCTTCAACCAAGTGCAGACTCGAGTGCATCTGCCATCTATCCAAGTCGATTCAAAAGGGTGGTTAATTTAAACAAGAACTTCGTGGACTTTCCTTGGAATAATTTTAAATGCGGGCGCAGTTAAGCACAGAGTGGATGAAAAAAACGCGGGCGACGATTCTTTTACCTTCATTTAATTTATCAATAACCGCGTTTTCTAGCCACCAAAATGTACCTAATTAATATCAAAAAAGTCTCTGGAAATGGTCAACGATTCTTTTGGAGCGGTGGCGGTGGTAAACGCGAGGCTCATTACTTGTCATATGTCTGCTGCAACTAGTTGTAGGCGCATTTTCACACTAGCACTTGTAGTTTGGGCTGTAAGCTATTTTTGCTGGCTCCACTGACTCACGCGCTGCTGTCATTGCGGACAGGACACCGCCCTTCCGTTGTTGTTGTTGTTGGTGGACGAGGAGGGCACGTGCTACTGTCCCACGAGCCTCGGCCACGATGGGATCTGATATCGCGAACTCCCCTTTTCAACCCCTCATAGCCATCCGCGTTTCCCGTGTTCGTTACCTCTGGGCCTTAAAAGACAGAATGGTTTCACAAAAGTGAATTTTCACGAAGAATTTTGACTATTAACGTGACTCTGCATAAAACTGCTTTTTGTTAGCTAATACATAGAGCCTTCAGTTGGGACAGTCGTGATTAACTCCACTTCCAAGAATTGGCTTCCAATCAAAGTGCCTTTCTTGTTGACCTATTTTCACGTTAAAAATGAAGTAAACTGTTCTCTTTGCGCTAGTTATGATTCGCGGTTTTTCGATGCAGACTTTGGTGAATTAAAACAAACCGGTTTATTAGAAGTCTACAGGCCCAAGGTGCTTGTCCATAGTATTAACTTTTTACCCCTCTTCCCGAGATTGAACTAACAAGTTAATTTACGAAGCCTTAAGAAATTGAGAGATCCCGTAGCCAATCACGATCAACGGGGCTAATTTCTAGTAACTGCATTTCGCTCGACAACAATCTACCGGCCTGCGCACACGCGGCGCGAAGTGCACGGTGAATGCCCACCAGGTAAAAGTAATAATTAACCCAAAACTCTGCCCTCCATGTTTTAAGTCGCACTACTTCACGCACTTGTTCTATCAACCGCTTGTATTTTATTGGGCGGTCGGACTGCCCTCCAACGAATCACCACGTCAAGATCAGGCGCCATTGAATTGCCCTGGCGTGTTAGTTGACTTTGGAATCGGGACTGTTTAAAATTTGGCATCGAGACCATAACTGTTTCCGGTTGATTGCGAGGACTCATTTGCTATAACTGGGTGAAATAAACCTTGTCACCGTGACGTCACTACGCTCTGATTGCCTCCACAAAACTGCATCGATTTGGACATCACCACGACTGTTGTGTTTATTTGAGACCGATTACCAATCCACCAAGAGTATTCAGCTTGATTGTCTATCGCTATTAATTCTTTTTAATGGTAATTATAGCGGGGTGCAAAATAAGAGCGGCATTTGCCTTACTTTCGTACATGCAACTGCAAAAATTGTTACATAATTGCAGAGCAGTTCTAGTGAATTGGGTCCTGCTAGAACGCGGCTGCTTTAATGAGAATCGTTTCACATCTAACATGGTGCAACTACTGCCTCAATATTTGCAATAAACAATTTTCCTTGGGCAACATTACATTTTCTCTTAGACCCACGTGAGGTGTACAACTGCCATGCAGGCAACAAAACATACTTTTCTATCCGTCGAAAGCGCGAATCTCTTCATCACTTAGTCCTTCAGAGGACAAAATTCAATAAAAACGTTAAACTATGGGCGTAGAATGCTGTGAACTGGGGGTATTCGAATGAAGTTTTTGAGATGTCGTTTAGCAAATTTACCTCCTTCAACGACGGATCAGGAATGTGGTTTGGCTTTCAACTACGACTTTCAA